TCCCCTTTCTTTCTCCTTTCTTTCTTTCTCTCTCTTACATGGACCACCTTTCCTGCTGTTCAATGTATCACTGGCATGCATGCCCATTCCCCCTCCTGTATCTTACCATCCCTATATCGCTGTCACTGCTGCCATACTCACCTTGCGCCACAGCAGACCCTCTCGGAATCTCCTGTGGAGACACCTGGAGAGCCATGGCTGTGTGCAAGGGTGATGTGGCACACCCCATGTGATCGACCCCGCATGTATATAATAACAGCTGGAGTGGGAACCGAAGAAGTAGCCTCCTTCTCACATTCCCACTTCAGACTAAGTGGTCAGGGACGCTCACCCTGTGACAGGACTGCCGCTATGCATAGCTGCTATTCATCCCACCAAGTCCCGCATGCTGGGACCTCACCACTTTTGGAGCTGTCCCTGACAGAAATGGATTGAATCAATCCTGAACTTTGACTCCTGTTCAAGTGACAATGGTGACTGGGGCATTGACACCATGATCCCTGCCTCACATCCTTCTACCACTCTTCATCATGAAACACATGGCGATCATATCTCCAAGCTTGTTCTGTCTCTCAGGATGCGGCCCCTCTTGGTTATTGACCCATTTTCAACTGTCAATTTTGAAGTGCTCACTATGTACCAAGAGAAGCATCAAACTGATGCCACTCGCAAAGCGGTATGGAGGAACCCCAAGCCCTTGAATGAGGCTCAAGGTCACAAATCTCAAAATAATGGCTTTCTCAAAACACTTTCTGCTGAGCTGTGAAAGCTGAAAAATGCCGATGAAATGTCAGCAGGGATGACAAGCGGAGTGGCCCAACAAGTCCGACACACAGTGATGCACTCAAATACTAACACCAGTACCCGTGAAAAAAATAGAGCAACTCTCAATCAACTCTCAGAGACGGTATGGAGCATCGCTATTTATTTATGGAGGGACATAGACTGATGCATCGACAGAGAGTCGCAGCTGCCCGACAACGCTGGTTTACCTCCGAGGATTTGCATCAAATTGAGGAGAAGATACTACTAGGGAATGGGAACATTAGTTCTTTGCCTGGCCTAGATCTCAAGAAGGGTTATTTAGTTTTTGTCTTTCACATGAGAACAATTTATCTCGCGCAAGGTCAGTGCTCATCCTTCCGTCCCACTTCATCACGGCCTCTTTCTGACAATGATTTAACCACCAAGTCATTATAATCTATCTAAATAATGGCCGAAACCTCCCACATCAGTACACTGAAAGTGTTATGTCGGCACCATCCTATCTTAGCGTACAGTTGTTTTCGCCACTTTCTTTGTCGTCACAAGATGCTGGCCGGTTCTCCAACTTTGTGCCAAACCAGAATGGTGCCCCTACCGCTGCATTCGCGCATTTGAAGCCCGAATATGTGCTTCTATCCCTCAACCAATGCGGAAACATTGCGTGGATACACAATGCAATCCCATCGATTCTCCATTCGCTGCAGATTGGCACAATCATTCCCGAGGCAATACGTGCCATGAAAGGCTCAAAATGAACATCGGAACAATTGAGCGTGCAATTAAGAAGTTTCAGGAGGGCTTGCAAGAGGGTGTGCTGAATCAGGGTGAACACTAACATCACGAAAATCGGACAGGCAACTAGAGCAAGGTCCCCTGGTCCAGAGCACTCCGGAGGCTCCAGAGCACCTGGGAGCATCTGGACCATGTGGGAGCACCAGTCCGATTTTCGTGATGAATATTCAATGTTCTTGTACAAATGGTGTTCTAGGCATCATTGCGGTGGCGCAAAGGGCTGCCAGCGAAAATATATATATGTGTGTCTGATCGATTTGAGGGCCAAATTAGAGTTTTTTGGCAATGTTTGACTTGTCAGAGGGCCTAAATGGGGTCTGGAGACTCGAATTTTGGGGGCCGAAATGAGGCCTCTCCGAACGGACATCTGATGGAGTATGCCGGGATCCTTTAAAATCGCGCACTCACATTTGTTGACCCACCGACTACTTTTCCACCCAGCGATGTGACGTTTCTCCCATTAAGCCCAACCTGAGGAATAGCGCCACACGTGCTCTGTTTGGATCGGTTGAACAGCATATAATGGGACAGTGCTCCAATTTGGATCGTTTGGCACCCTGTTTGGAAGACTGAGAGTGTAATTCCCGCCAAAACTAGTCAACCTACTCGGTGCCAGCTTCAAGCACGAGGACGCTGAAATGAGGATTCTCCGAAAGACGCGCCCCAAGGACAGCGCCAGCGTTGCCGGCTGCGTGTGCGATGAACACTGAGTTTGACTCCAACAACATCAAGGCATACCTCCGATGATAATGAAATCGTAGAAGGCTTTCAGAGCGTTGTATGTCGGAGACATTCCGGTCCAGACTGCAGAACGACGGTATGCTTCTTGAATGCCTTACTTTAAGTATGAAAGGCACCTACCCCCAGCGGGGACAGTCACACGGAAACCAACGGGATTGAATGGGGACATAGGTCCCTGCAACTGCCAATATTGCGAGGCACGAAGCCATTGGGCTCGGGGAGTACGCGTCCGATTTTGACCTGATTGACTATTCAGGAACGGACGCTCACGATTCATTTCACTGTGGGAAGTAAATGGCCGTAAAAAACCATTTTTGGTCTGGTTTTTGACCATTTACCACTGTTTTCGTGATATTTTTTTCATTGTAAATTACAATATACGTTTCATGATGCTAAATACCAGACTCTTCCCTGCGTAAATTACCACTCAATTCATGGTATTCGAGCTGCGATGTATTGTACAAAGGTCAGAGGTATGGACGGCCGGAGTTCGGTTAGTCATCGTCGTCGATTGACCTTGCGAGCTCGCAACTGCGATCGATGATGGCCCAACGACGGGAATGCGTACGTACCATAGGGAAATCGGCCACATACTGAAGAGACCGAAGCGAGAGCGATAATTTGACTGTAGTAAAAGAGGTCGGTGCCAAGGCAGCATCCATGTAGGCACCGCTATCTGAGACAAGGTCAACGAGGTGACGCATGTTCTCACAAGCGACGTTTTGTGACGTGCTCGGGGATTTGAGTCCACAGCTACTTCAGCTCAATAGTGAGAGCCATGAAATTCAAACACTCCTACCCAGACGAAGGATAAGTTCCTAAATTTAATTCATTGTTTTTGGGCCCACATTGTGGAAACTTTGTCATCTCCCCCGACAATGCGTGATTTCCCTAGCGAGGCATAACCAAGAGCTCGATTATATGTTGGTACGGCTTGTTGTAGACATTAGTAAACTAGATCGCGACTTTGCGATGGGTGGAATTGTCAGGAATGTTTCTTGTCGCAAGGAGTCCCAAGTATGGAAGCTGGCACTTAAAGATGTAAGCAGAGACTGTGGCGCTTAGACTGAAATCGGACCAAGTTGTTCTCGGCAGTTTCCATTCCACTCAGTGCCTTATCCTCTCCACCATACCATACACGTTCTGCAACCTGCTCATTTCCTGCCAATTTGACTATCCTTTCACTATGCAACTAGCTACTCTTCTCAGAAGTGGCAAGTACTTATGAATATGGACACTGGGCATGCTGCCTCACTGACAGCGATGCCATGAATGGCTTCCATCTGGACGTGTTTCAACGCGTCTTTACGCGTCTTTAACTCATTGGTGAATGAGAAATAGCATTTATTTATTTATTTTAGAAAATCGTCAAGCCTCTCACAGCAAACAGGAATCTATGTTACCCAAGGGTCACACCTGTGGTAGAAAAGCTCGTGCATCTGCTTAGGGCATAGTTTGGCCCCATGTGCGCTCATTAGTTTATCTCCCAACTACCTCTTCTCCCTCTGCTGCCTTGCTAATTTCCCCCTGTGCTAGTAACCAAAAAACGCGACTGGAATTCGAAAGCGATGATAATGACCAAGGCCCGATGACAACCACCTCTACTAGTACTGCCAAAAAGGAACCCCCGTGGTCGTCACTATGATGGCCCCACAACAGAAGAAAGTCTGAATCAATTAACCTGGCCCACTCAGAAGGAAAGACCGCCTCGCGAAGCTGTGCGCAAGGGTTGAAGTTCACTTATGGTATCTTCTACCGTCTTATTCACAGCCCGAGACTTCCTCCACTTTCATTAGGTTATGCTCTGTCAAATCAACCTCATCAAAATCGAATCGATGCTCGACTTTTATGCTGCCCGTCTCTTGCTCGCACTCAACTCCGTACTTTTCTCGTGAGCCCAAGGCTTCAATCCTGCGTTATGCTTTCCGGATCGGCTCTTCTTCGTCACTCCTCGAATTGACCTTTGTGTCTTTTGTTCACCTCAACTCGGTTCATTTCCTCACTTGCAATGACTGCTATTCATCGCAACGTAACCTAGAGTCTCTGCCATAAATGTAGTTGTAAATGACGATAAATAACCACGTTTTTCGCCAAATTAACAATATTGTAAATGATGAAATCCGACCGGTAAATTACAAAATGCACCCTTGTAAATTGACCGTTTACAATCGTTATTGTGGTGGAGAATTATTAAAAAACAGGTCATCTACCTCCTTTAACGTGGTAAAGGAATCCTGGTAAAATGCAATGGACCACATTGTAAAACACAGTTTTAATCATGTTAAAAATGAGTGTATTATACAATGGTTAAGATGATCTTTTACGCATCACTAATTCCCTCTGTGATTTATCGCCATATTTGGATAACCACACAATCATCTTGGTCAATTCATCCAAAGCGGTCATCTCGATCGACACCGCCTAAACGATCAAATGTCGGGCAAGTCCCTGCAGTTGCCCCTTGAGCTTACATGAACAATGCTGACGAGAGGTACCGTTTACCATCATTGAGATGGTAGAAAACTGCGAAAAAATAGGTCTTTTACCCTCGTTAGTATGGTAATGGGAAATAGTCTTAATGGTAAAGTACTATTCGAATTATCGTAAAAGTGAAGGTATTTTACCATCTTTAAAATGGTTTTTTATGCGACTCTAATTTCCACTGTGGAAGGCCAACTCCGCATCGCTGACGACAGCTTGTGAAATCGAAGTCGGGGTTCGGGTTCCATGGCAGTCGGTTGAAATACCAAATGTAAGGCTGGTCCGTGAAAACAGCAGAACGCACTACCCAGGACACCCCAAGCAGTGCTATCGAAGCTATATAACCCCAACTGATCCCCATAGCTGATAGCCATCTTGGAACGCCGGAAATTATCCAACGAAATGGCTTTCAAAGGACCTCTTCAACCTCAACCATTCACGATCGAAACGCCTGAGCAAGTGTTGGATGACATGAAGACGCTCATTAGACTTGGACGTCTGGCTCCAATCACGTACGAGGGCACGTATCCAGAGGCTGGACTTGGTATATCCGATGAGTGGACAAAGAACGCGAGGGAAACTTGGCTGTCTAACTTTGATTGGTAAGATGATCCTCCCCCATTCCAGGATGTCAAATATGGACATACCACTCACGCCCGGGCGTAGGAGGGCTCACGAGAAGCGCATAAATGCTTCTCCTAACTGGAAGGTCGACGTTACGGACGATGATGGAACTATTTATCACGTCCATTTCATTGGTGTCTTCTCCCACGAGGCAAATGCTGTTCCCCTGGTTTTGTTGCACGGATGGCCAGGCAAGTAACACTGCTATGTGTGTTGCTGGGTATTAAAGCAGGTCTTTAGGATCGATCATGGAATTCCTTGACATCATTCCTATCCTTCAGCAATCGAAATACCCGTCATTCCATATCATTGCGCCTTCTCTACCCGGTTATGGCTGGACGTCTGGCCCACCCCCGCACGTCAACCTCACCGTTTCAGGAATGGCGAGAATTGTAGACAAATTGGTGACTGGACTAGGCTTCCGGGACTACGTTGTTCAAGGTGGAGATATCGGCTCTCATGTTGCGCGCATCATTGGATCGAGAGCTCAGAATTGTAGAGGTAACCCTTTCATGTGATACATATAAGTACTTCATTTTCACTCATGCAATATCGCTTGATGTGTGACTAGCTGTTCACAGTGAGTTTGGGTCATTCTCGCCAATTGGGACGTGATACTGATCCTGCTTCGCAGTCAACATGTTCGTCACTAGGGGAGAACCCCCAACGAAACCACCTCTTTCACCTGCAGATCAAGAGAGAGTTAGAAAGACCCAGGAATTCATGAAGACAGGCTACGGGTATGGAATCCAGCAAGGTACTCGGCCCAGTACCGTTGGTCAAGTATTGAGCAGCAATCCTATCGCTTTGTTGGCTTGGTAAGTGTTCTCATCACCGCATCCGACGTCCCCACTTGGGGCTGCTGATCGGGGAGTATTGTGCCCTAGGATTGGCGAAAAAGTCTTAGCATGGACCGATTCAACTCCGACGTTGGATACCATTCTTGCGATGGTGACGCTGTACTGGGTAACCAGTAGCGCCTCGACTAGTCTCTACCCATACAGGGCTGTCAGTTTGAAGAATCTGTTGCAATTGGAAGATAATCCTATCTGACACTCCCCTAAATAACAGTTGGCAGCCGATGACCCCCCACCCTATATCCCCATCAATAAGCCCCTCGGATACTCCATCTTCCCTAAGGAGATTCTATCCTTCCCTGCAGGTTGGCTAGCTTACAATACAAAGCTTGTGTTTGTGCGGGAACATCAAAAGGTGAATCTGGCACGTAACATCCTTTTCAGACTAACTGAAATGCTTTATTCACTGGAGGGAGGACACTTTGCGGCCCTTGAGTGCCCTAACGAGCTTGCACAAGATATCATTACATTCGTGTCCACCCTACCCAAGTTTGAAAAGTCCGCATACGCGGCTTTATGAAGGACCCCCAGTGACGGCGTCTCGAATACCTTGGGGGGAGGGGGAAGATGAATGTAGCACCACACCAGTTGTAAATCATGTCGCAGCAATGCAAGAACTGATAGTTTCGGGGTGAGATGCGTGACACGACTGGAGCTTTGTGTTGTGTTGTGGTAAATGTTCGCCGGGTTCGTGTGATGTAAAGGAATCTGCGGACAATCGTCTATATGTTAGATGATGTCCGCAGTGTGTAACGTCGTTACATTTATAGGTGATAACACAAAGGGATGAGGACAAAGTTGGGAGGCAAAAAGCGTCGGAGCACAATCCCCAACGCGACAAGGGGGGGCGCAAAGGAGTGGCCAGAATAGAAAGGTGCCACCCGGCTAAGCGGGAGCGGGTGCATCTGAATGTTTCAACATGATGTACAACACGGTACACCAGAAGAGCCCAGGTCTGGTTACTGTAAGTGGGGTCAACATCAAATCAAAGCGTGTGGCAGAGCCGGACAAAGGCATAACCCCAAAAAGGGGTGCTCAGTGGCAGAGTCTCTCGGTATCAAGGCAACATGACATTTCGGAATGACTCTCAATAGTCATTTTAGTTCCGTGCTATCGGGAGGCACTGCTCAATGGGGCAAGTCCAGGGATACAGTTGTTGGTTTGTATGGGGGGGTGTTATTATTCTGATCACGGTCATTTACTGCATGCTTTTTCCATGTCACATTTGTACTGCAGAAACGATGACATTGTAGTGGCGGCTTTTGAGCCCACTCCAGTCATCGTACTTGTTCCAAAATGTCTAGCTTGTCGATGATGGTAAACAATATTAATGTGGCCGGCCCGTCAGCATTAAAGAGACAGGGCCTTTAAATGCCCTTGGGAGAAACGACAACAGAAGTATCCTGGATGCACCTATTACAACATGTCATGGGAAAGATTAACATTCACTTACCAATGGCTGTTCTGTACTGGAGACGTCCCCCTGTTTGGATCTGGTTCTACCAGACTAGTAAATATATAAGACTTAAAAGGGTCTGCAATGATCCTATGGGCTGCATGGCACTTGATCTACAAGAAATCAACATTCACTCCTGTTGCAACAGATGACATAGACCTGTCAGAGGCTGGATTCAGGATGAGCGAAGACATCCCTGTGATCGGAGGGCTATTGTAAGGGGTTGGTGTAGGTGCCAACCCTGGTTAGCCTAGTTCCTCAGGTTGTCAACAAAACTAACTTGTATGAAGTTGTATTTGCAACAGTTGTGGGAGGAAAAGGCTAAGTTGCTCTTTCCACTTTAGGGGTGGGGTTACAACTCCTTACAGCTATGGCCTCAGCGACTCTACCAGGAGTGCTGTGCCCAGTATCACGTTGATGCCCTAATTTATGGACTGAGGGAACTTAGAAGAGGGGGATCAACTCTAGTCGATATTTTCACTAAGGTGTATCGTAACTACAGGTTATGTATATAGGGAGTCTAGGCAGCAGGCCTGTAAATGGCAGGGGCTGAATGGAGCTGACCTAATGTGGTCAAGGGTTAGCCAACTGAATGCTACTGACAACTTGGGTTACAGGGTTAACGGGTTATAACCCAGAAGTGGAATGGAGGGATCGGTCCAAAGGTGGGCTTGCAGGGTAGGCAACTAAATGACCAAGTTGGAGGTGGGGGTGCACTTGCAGACATTGGAGCTGTCTGGAAGCCTTCAGGGTTCCATACTTAGGGAGGCATAGGTAGTATATTTGTCAGGGGACGACTCCCGGGTCCCCATGACCCTCCCCTATGGTCCACAGCCTCTGGTGTAACCAGCCCTATCCAGGGCACAACCTACTGTGGGTAAGGAGATGAGAAGGAAGCTAACTTCTCATCTTCCCACAGTGGCCACAATATCAGGCAAACTTCCAGGGATACCCAGAAGTCACATGAGGGGGTGGGAACCAGGCCCGGAACATGCGGCACATGGAGCATGTGCGCATGTGGAAGCACAGCAGGCGGATGCGGGTCCAGATGTGGGTCTGGGTCTGGGCTAGTCAGGGTGTGTGCCCTGACAATATTGAAATGGGAGGGTGATGACCATCAGGGGGGTCAGAGGAGATTGCAGGATCTGGGGGCTCTGAGGTTGGAGACAGAGGAGTGGAGGCAATCCGGGATGGCCAGAGGTGATGGAAGGTGGTGGTGGTGGATGGATATGACAAGACCCTGTTTTAGCAAAACCAATGATAAGGTAGGGAGCATACATAAGTAATGACTCTCTGGATGCTGGGGGAGGAGTGGTGGTATAGTGGTAACACCTGCCAACCACTCTCTTGCTGGAATTTGCCGATTGAGAGGACATTGGTTCGACTCACCCACTGGGAGGTCATGGTTCTCCAAAGTCTCAAGAGGCACATGTTTATGCATCCAGCCAACAAGCTGAGGAGCCAATCTCATGATCACCTGATCCAGCTTCTCCACTGCTGATTACAGAAAAGCTCACATCACCTGACTATCTACCCCATTCAGTACCTGAAAATGGCCTCTTCAAGTAATGTCAGATAGGGGATATGTTCCTGGACAGATGATTGTCTCATGATAGGGTCTACCACTATAGGTGTAGCAGTGAATCCTGGGCTGGGTGAACAGGCTTTGTGTTATCCAGGGCGATAGAATCCAGTGGAGCTCAGAATAGAAAAATTGTATGATAATATGCCTTGGGCCTCAGCCTGCCCTTCATGCCCCTTTAGTGGGAGTAGTACATGCACATTAAATATCCAGAGAGAACAAACAAACAAACAAACTCTCCAGATGCAAATATTTCAAAACTTGCATCACTTCTTATTCTCAGTGCAATGCTCTGCTGCCCAAATGAGCACCAAAAACCTGTAGGATAGACATTCCTTAACAAGTCTTTGGATTTGCTTCTTCAATAAATATCCTATTGATCAAGTAATGGGTAAATTACATTCTGGTGTCAAAAGATGAGCATTATTAATCCAAGGGTGTGACAATAAAAATTGAAGTTCCATCAAGTTTGCCACACTAAACACCATCGAAATGAATGATGGCAACTGCTGAGAATGAAAAAGGAAATTCTCCCCATACCCTTTTCCCTCCAAAACCCAGCAGAACAGACTTCTAAGCATGCCTCTGGGGAAAAATGCAAGTGCACAAGTAATTTGGGGCTGTATGCACAGAAGGTCCTTTTTTATTCAACCCAAAACTCACATACTCATGCAGAAATCATGCACACATAAACAGACTAAACCATCATCACCAACTATGGACATGACTATCAGTGATGCCAATGTTCCCTCTGATACAGAGAGCTTTGATTTGGCACTGGAGAGCAAGTTGGATTCTGATTTCAGTGAAATTGATGAACATGAACCAGACACATACCCCAATATTCTGCCAATCCTTCCCCTTTGGGAGTGGCTGTCTGAATTGCAGAAAGCCCTCTCAGCACTGATCAACAAGTGGGGTGCAATCCCTGGAAACAAAGTTCACTACCCTGGAAACACAATTAACAGGATTCAGGCTGAGCATACACAGTGGCATCATGCAGCCAAGTGGAGAGCTACCAGGGGAAAATTGCAGGAGATGAGCAACAAAACAGCAGTTGACCAAAAGAAGTGGACAATTACTGACTTTTTCCAGAGTCACCAATCCCACATTCCTGCTGACAAACAATCCTGCTTCCCTGTTGACATTGACAACCTATCCCCCCCTTCCAATTCCCTTAATTATCCTGGCTCCCAACCTGGATCACCCAGTTGCTCTAGTAGTGGGAGAGGGGCCACTACTGCTGGAGTCATGGCCTTGGACACTGAGAGTCAGACAACACTGCAAATTCTGACAATGCAAACACACACACCTGCACTCACACCTGAACCTGGGCCTGTGTCCCCATCCACTTATAACCCACCACCCACACCACCCTCAGCTGGTGTATTAAACCCAGTGGCTCCCCTAACCAGTGGCCAATGCACAAGTGGGGAGGAACTATTCGCATGGGTCCAGTTCCATTCACATCCCCATGTTGCCGCTCCAACCAAAGCTCAAGTAATCGAGGCAGCAGAGAAACTTGATGCACTCATAAGGCCACCTCAAGCCACAGGTGCTGGCCATAAGCATTCAAAATTTGATGATTTTATGTGGATGTGACTGGAGCAGATGCTCCAAGTATACTGGACATTCAGCTTGGCATGCTTGGGTCCAAGTGGGGAAATGGGATGGACCACAGCATCGTTGTGGGTTGCAAGATCATGGGATTGTGGCTCATCATATGCTTCATGGCTGTGAAGGTGGTGTCAAGTATTTATGTGGGATTACAAAATGATTCCAGTCAATCCATATGGACAGTGGAAGGAGTCAGTTCTGACAACTGATGAGGACCTTAGGAGTGAGATTGAGGCTCACCTGTGCAGTATTGGCCCATACATCTCAGCTATGGACATAGTCCATTTCTTGAGCACTCCAGAAATGCATGTTTGGCTCGATCATGATAAGCCAATTTCAGTTCACATGGCACAGTGTTGGCTTCAAACAATGGGTTACCAATGGAAACAGGAGAAGAAGGGTCAAATTTAGATGGGCATGAGTGGGAAGATGTTGTCCAGTACTGCCAGAGAGTCTTCCTCCCTGCTATGGCAATTCTATGAGGAAGTGGAATAGCCAAGGTGAACAAGAAATATCTGACAACTCACTGGAATGCCACACTGTTGTCTGGTACCATGACGAGTCTATATTCTATGCTCATGATCGCTGGAGACTGCACTGGGTTCACAGTTCTGAGTCAGCAAAGCCACATCCAAAGGGTGAAGGTGTTTCACTTATGGTTGCTGACTTTATGGTTGGCTGAGAGGTGATGCGTGTGATGCATGTGTTACTCTGAAGCCAGGGGAGAACAAAGATGGATATTTCACTAACGGCCATGGAGATATTAAAGGCATGCTACCTGAATGACAAACATGTTTTTGTCTGTGACAATGCTCAGACTCATTCTAAGCATGCTGATTGTTAGAGACTGGATTTGAGACGAGGGATATGTCTCTGTGGCGGAGGGCTTTGGCCTCAGTGACT